AATTTAAGTCGCGTTAATTTCCAATACGTTAATTAACACGAGCGTTAATTTCCTATAATAAGGTAGTTAAATTTATTTCACCAGTTAAGTTCTCTAAAATTATTTTTCCGGTGTGAAATTTCCCGCAAAGTTTGAAGTTTTACTACAAATTAAAACAATTTCTGCCAGTCGTTGCTATTAAAATCACTTGAAATCAGACCTTTTCTACCGTACATTGTATAGGAGGAAGCGAATAAATTCGCTAACTGTATTTCACAGAAATTCTCTTAAATACAGCAACGATCAGAGAGGTAAACTCGACGAAAATTGACTCATTTTTTACTTAAAATGTAACAGTGAGAGAAACACAGGATTACGCGCCATTACAGCGCCAAGCTACAAACANGGCTCCTCCCCTGGATCCGCCACTGTCAGATACTAGACAAAGACAGATGTATTAAAGAACAGATTTATTTTCAACTACTTTGTGTTAGTTAAATTTATTTCACCAGTTAAGTTCTCTAAAATTATTTTTCCGGTGTGAAATTTCGCGCAAAGTTTGAAGTTTTACTACAAATTAAAACAATTTCTGTCAGTCGTTGCTATTAAAATCACTTGAAATCAGACCTTTTCTACCGTGCATTGTATAGGAGGAAGCGAATAAATTCGCTAACTGTATTTCACAGAAATTGTCTTAAATACAGCAACGATCAGAGAGGTAAACTCGACGAAAATTGACTCATTTTTTACTTAAAATGTAACAGTGAGAGAAACACAGGATTACGCGCCATTACAGCGCCAAGCTACAAACAACCAAAAAAATCTCACAACTTTAAAACACTCAATTAAATTTACCACAGCAACTTTCCTTGCCATTTAAAAGTGAATAGAGATACACTTGCGTTGATTAATTTATCGTCGATGGAAGTGTGAAAAAAGCAAAAGATTGACGATTACCGGTAACTTTGAGGAGCAAAATTTAGGAGCGGTCCGTAACTCAGGGTGTCGGACCGTTGGAGCGTGCGCGATAAGCCAAACAGATGTAAGGATTTAGGATTCCGGACCCCTGATAATTGTCATTTTTGGTAAGATTGGTAAGCATGCAAATGTCGCCTTCTGAA